TTTTTGGAAAAAAGTATGATTTTATATATATGTGTTGAGAAATCCTTGTATAAATGTGGAATTTGGCTTGTTATTGTTTGGGAAGGAGTGGAGATCGCCAGAAATGAAGTTTTCCAACGATCTCCATGGCAGACGGCGTGCCGGTCGCCCAGACGGCCCAGTTGACTAGGCCGTCTGGGCGAAGGTACCCTATCAACTAGGTAACCCAGTTGACTGGGCCACCTGGGCACAGTAACGCCCAGGTGGCCCAGTCAACTGGGGTGCCCAGTTGACTAGGCACCTGGGCCGGTCAGCCCAATTGACCCAGTTGACTGGGCCGATCATTATTTTGGGCCGTGGGCCAAATTTATTTATTATTATTATTTTTTTATTCTCATAATTATTGAAGTTAATTAAATAATTATTAATCACTTATATTGTGTTCTCTAATATGTAATTATTTATTTGAATTGCTTAATTTGAATGTATATTATGTACTTAAAATTATTTATTGTAAATATAATATGTAAATGTTATATTATTTATCGAAATATTTATTAGTTGCTAATTTAGATTAATTAATTATTTTATATTAAATAATAGTAAAATAATTAAAAGAAATAATATAATATTAAATAAGTAATATATATAAAGAATTTAAATAAATATTTAAACATTTGTAAAATAATAAAAATAAGCAATTAAATTTGAAAATTAAAATAGCGAAAAAATTAATTTTTGCAAAGCAATTAAAATAAATTTGTAGATACGAAATAAGCATTACGCGTAAAGAATTAAAATTAGTATTTAAACATTCATTAAAATTAAAAAACTAAATTAAGTGTTAGAAAAATAATTAAAATATTAAAATAAACAATCAAAATAAGTGTTAGTAAAATAATTTTAAAAAATGAAATATTAAATAAGATATATATAAAGAATTTAAATACAAAATTAAACATCTGTAAATAATTAAAATAAGTTTTAAAACTTCATTAAAAATAAATAACTAAATTAACTGTTAGAAAAAAATTAAAATAAGCAATTAAAATATCAAAATAAGTGTTAGTAAAATAATTAAAAGAAATATATATATATATATATATACACACGCAATTAAATTTGAAAATTAAAATATCAATCTAATTAATTTTTTGCAAAGCAATTACAATAAATTTGTAAATATGAAATAAGCATTATGCGTAAATAATTAAAATAAGTTTTTAAACATTCATTAAAAATGAAAAGTAAATGAAGTGTTAGAAAAATAATTAAAATATCAAAATAAGTGTTAGTAAAATTATTAAAAGAAATATTTAAATATTAAATAATATATATATAATTTAAATACATATTTAAACATTTGTAAAACAATAAAAATACGCAATTAAATTTGAAAATTAAAATATCAATTAAATTAAGTTTTTGCAAAGCAATTAAAATAAATTTGTAAATATCAAATAAGCATTATGCGTAAATAATTAAAATTAGTATTTAAACATTCATTAAAAATGAAAAAGTAAATTAAGTGTTAGAAAAATAATTAAAATATTAAAATAAACGATGAAAATAAGTGTTATTAAAATAATTAATTACATGTTAAATAAGTAATATGCATAAAGAATTTAAATAAATATATAAACATTTGTGAAATAATAAAAATAAAAAATTAAATTAGGATATGAAAATGTCAATCAAATTAATTTTTTACGAAACAATTAAAATAAATTTGTAAATATGAAATAAGCAATATGCGTAAAGAATTAAAATAAGTGTTTAAACATTAATTAAAAATGAAAAAGTAAATTAAGTGTTAGAAAAATAATTAAAATAAGCAATTAAAATATTAAAAGAAACAATCAAATTAGCAAATTAAGTATATGGAAAATAGTAATTTACATTTATTTTCTTTATTCCGTTATCGGTTGGTTATTGCATCTAGTAGCAGTGTGTTAGTATATTTTTGTAATATTTTTTTTTATCGAACATCATTTGCATAGGGTTCTAATATTTGAAATTTTGCAGGATGGAATATCATCTGGACGACGCTGTCAGATAGATCCCTGATAAAGTTACGTCGAATTATAACTTTACCAGCTTCGCTTTGGAATTAGATTTGCTGGATGACGATCACGCAGACATATTACGTCGATCATGCTTATGGTCATTGTATTCGTTGCGTGATGTACAGTGTGGTTTGGGCAGCTGCTCGATGCCCTGCTATGTCGGTTGCTGAAGCCAGTTAATGGAGACGCCCTCCATTTTGATCTTGGGGACAAGGTAGCCACATTCTCCATATTTGAGTTTGCCCTAGTCATTGGACTATGATGTACGGACGAAGTAGAGGCGAGGGCCTGTGTTCCGAGGAACAGGAGGCTGTTGAATGAATATTTTCATGGACAGACGACAGTTACTCTAGTGCAGTTGGGAGATGCATTAAGGAGGTGTGATCGGATGTCTGATAGGCTAAAGTTGGGCTTGGTGCTTATCATCAAGAGCATACTCCGGTGTCATCACAAGAAGACATCGATTGACATTTTCCATTTGGAGAAGACGCTAGACTCGCTGGACGTGGTCTTTGTGTCTGAGGAGGTGGTCCCGATAGCGGGCGAGGGGGTCATCCCGATGGCTGGGGAGATAGAGATTCCCGAGACACATGAGGAGAGGACGATGGCTGTTGACGTGCTGGAGCGGGGGGTCGGCAAGAGGCCAAGGGTGCCATCACAGTACGTCCTTTCTCCCTTTACCGTGGAGGCAAAGAGGAGAAGGTTCGCCGACAGGACGCAATCAAATTTATTTAGGGAGGTGGACCACGCCAAGTGGAAAGCCTTTGAGAGAGAGTGGAGAGCACTGAAGCCTGGGTAAGTTTTGTATTTTATATAATTAGTATAGTACGCAGATCCTGACACATGTATATTTCTTATAACTAAAAATTCTGTTCTTATTTTTTCAGGGCCAGCCGCACGATTGCTGAGAAGACGATCTGCTTACAAGTGGTTCCACAACATCACCACTTCGGGGGCTTGGCTCGCCGACGATGTAAGCGAAATGAAAATATTGTTATTTATTATGTATGTTCAAAATCAATTTTTTGAAATTCATAGATTAACTCCTTTCTTTATTGGTGTTTCTTGATGTAGCACATCGACTTGAGCATGGATTTGCTACGAGATCAAGCTGAAAGACATCCAAAATCGTTCAACATTCCTGACGGACTCATATTGAACACCGAGTTCATCTGTGCCGTTGACATTGAGTACCAGTCGTTCCAAACTATGGGTAACTAGTACACGGTGCTGGAATATATGATGGAATGGGTCGTAGGGATATGGTCGAGTGTCGGTGGAAAGCCATGGGATGGTTGTACGCATATGTACATGCCAGTATGTGTGAGTCATCACTACATTGCAGTGGAAATTGTATTCGCCGACTCCACGATGTATGTGTACGACCTCGATCATTCATGCCCGACATAAGGCCAACTCGAGCAAAATCTAGAGTTGGTATCTGTGATCGTTCCCACGATGGCTAGACGAGCGAACATCACTGTACATGACAGATTGGCCACCGTGCGAAACACGACGACGGCGAGGCAGCAAATATCGTAAGTGTTTGTAATTTTATTTTTGTCATTTACATCTTAGGTTCTAACTAATTTTCAATGTGCTAATACAACATTGTTTAATTGTAGGGGTGATTGCGGCATGTTTGTCATCAAGTACATAGAATTTTTGAGTGTGGCACATAAGGTTGATGAAATCAACCAGGCATGGATACAAAATTGGAGAAATAAATTAGCATTGATTTATTCAAAATTTAATGGGGATCCGTAAATAATTGTACATATTTTTACATTTATTTAAATATTGTACAGTCCATTCATTTATTTGTAATTATGAAAGAATTGTAAAATGTTAATTATTTATGTAATATCTAAATATTTATTTTACAATTCATGCCATTAGAAAAAGTTTATCATATATGCAGCCTACCGTATAATGCAGTGTCTAGAAAAAGCTTCGATTTCAAATAATTAACATAAATAATAAGCATAACAAATGAATGTAATGAATGAAATGTTTAAAAAAATACTAAATCTAATAATTCACATAAATAATATGCATAAATAATTAACGTCAATGTTATAAATAATTACATTGCCATTAGTTATTAAAATTACACATCCGTTACATTGTCATGTAGATGAATTTGACTTGTACAATATTTTCTAGTATGCCCTGTTGCACCGCACCTACCGCACTTACAAGGCTGGGGAAACTCTCTGGTAGATGGTATTCTAGACGTACGTGTACGTCCAGGAGTACGTGGTCCAACTGCTGGTGGCAACAAGTTATTAAGTAGGAGAATGTGGTCGGGCACTTCCCACTCGACTTCGTTTGGTACAGAAAATATTGTTTCCGCATACGCTGCTCTCCAATAATCAGTCATGTAATACACACTGCATAAGGTGTGTGGTGGTAATCCTCTATGCATAGCCACTGCTACTGCATGTGTACACGGAAAACTCTCCAACTGAAACCGTCTACACGTGCACGTGTTATCATTCAAGTCCACAATATATCCGAAATTACGTGCATATCTCACGGAGAAGCGAAACTGATCTAGTGGTTCTACATATACCTTTCTTGCCACATCTAGAGTCTTGAAGAGCTTATCTTCTTGAGCCGGGGTTAGCACACTTGCACAACTCTGTAATTCCTCACGTCGATCATGAAACCACTATTGTAGCTTGTCACGAATGTTCTCAATCATTGCGAGAATTGATAACTCTCGATCTTTCTTGAATAAAGCGTTAAGCGACTCCGCATTGTTCGACGTCATCATATTGTATCGACGTCTTGGAAAATGTGATCATGCCCAATGTTCAATCCCCATCTCTATTAGATACTCCCATGCAGCATGCAATTTACTGTCTATTTCGACCATCAACTTATCAAACTCTTCAAAACTGTAAGCCTCTGCAGCTCTCCTAAACAATGCAACGAAGCCATTGCCTCGATACCTGGTCTTCAGGTTTCCTTGTATATGGTACATACAATAACCATGATGTGCCTCGGGGATGATTTCGACGATACCATTTATTATTGACTGCCCTCGATCGGTTACGAATGCAAGATTTTCGACATCCCCAATTACTTCCCTCAACTTCGTGACGCAAGAGGCTAAATTTGGATGTTCGCATCTTGACATGTTGCAATAATCAACTTGCTCCCGTATCTCGCCTTAAGGGTTGTACCGTCGACAAAGATTAGGGGTCACATTGCATTTCGAAATCCTCGAACACATTGTCCAAGGACCATAAAGAAATATTTGAAGCGATTTTCGTCATCCTTCTCAATAAAAAATATCGACCTAGTATTAATTCTTCCCATGTTATAGCAATACCTGGCCAATGTAAATAAAAATAATTATAATTTAGATAATATATTAAATATTCAATGAACAGAAAAATAAACAGTTTAATTAAATAATTAATTATATATAAATAAACAATTGAAATTAAATAATTAAAATTTAAAATAACAAAGAAATAAACACTTAAACAATGAAATACCTGGTTAATTTAGCATAACTCTTCTCGGTCGAACCTATCAAATCCTCCAATGCACATTCTTTAGCCTTCCAAGCCTTCTGATAGCTCATGACCACCCCGTACTCTCGTCGAACGTCATTAATGATGTCCGAAGGTCTGTAGATCGTTCGTGGATCCTGGAACTTGTGCATTATTTCTCGACCAATGAACCATGATCGGGCCTACCTATGATCATTTCGACGAATACTCACTTCGCAAGTATGTTCCCGTGCATACTTACGGACTACAAAGAACTCATTGTGTCCATCTTAGTCGCTCGCAAACGCCAATGGCAACTGTCATCAATGCAGATAATTGTGTACGTTGACTTGTTTGATTTCTTCACTTTAAACTCGAAATTATGTTTTAAAGCAATCCGGTGCACATCTTCTTGCAATTCTTTCTTTGATTCGAATAGTTGCTCGACATATACATTTTCATCATCGGGAACTACACTTGAGCAATTAGAGGATCGTGTACTCGGTCCGGCCTGTAAGCTCCCACCTGACTCATGTCTCCTATGGGATAAAGCAATCAAATCCTCATTTTTAAATGCGCTTTCATTCTCGTTGTCTTCAACTATCGATGGAATTCTGTGCGTAACAGTGTGATCATGGTGAGTAGCAGTGGTCTCGGGAATAACCACATCATCTTCACGAACAATCTGAATTGTATCCCAAACATTATTTACATTACGATTCTCTTCCTTTGAAACTTCGTGTTCACCATCGTGGACATTCTTCCCCAATAAAGTTACGCAAATAGGAGTCGACTTTCGGCCTTGGTTCAATTTAATTAGATATTTCATTTCCACTTCAGAAGTAACTTTCATAGGTGGAATTGGAATGGTTGAATGCTTATGAAACAAAAATCTCAATTCTATATTGTACTGAGAGGAATCGACGTTAAACATGTTTTGTATATCACTGTACATTTCTGCAAACGATGTACTCCTTATTATAAAAATTGCTTTAACCCCATCTCCTTCACTCGTCCATTTCCATTCCCACCGAGTATTTTCATTCATTTGAAATTCACCGAAATAACAAATTGGTACACATGCTGATACCATATCTGTCACAAATTAAAAATAAGGAATTAATATATAATTTTTTAAATTGGTCATTTCATATTTAATTTAATTTTATACTTTAAATAATTCATTGATTATTTTAATTGTTTCAAAAATATTTATTTCAATTAGTATTAAATATTCATTAATATTTATTTCAATAAACATATATTAATGAACAAATAAATTATAAAATTTGAAAGGGGAGGGAGGAAAAAAAAGGCCGGCTGTTCCTAGCCGGATGTTTCCAGCCGACCCGGCCCGGATAAATGGGCCGGCTGGAAACATCCGGCCCAGCTTTTTTGGTCCGTTTAATCTGGAATTTACGTTCGAATTTTTATTTTTTCCCCTTTTCAACGAAATAATGTTTAAATATTTATTCTACAGACACCTATAAATTTTTCTTATAAAATATATGCATACAGAAATGAATTTTTTTTGTTTTTGCTATAAAATGTTTATACATCTGTGTTTAAATACAGTAAAATTCCTCTGCCTTTATAAAAAAAAGATTTAAAGATTCCAACAGTAAATTTAACTAAAACAAAATTAAAAATACGTATTTACACTTACCAATTTTCAGTGCCGACTGTGAGTATTGTTTCTTTGTTGAACCTTTGATAATTTTGGAAGATTTCAATATTCTAGCAGATGGAAGGAAAAATTTCTTTTTTACTGTATTGGAAAAACTGATAAACAAAACTGATTTTGAAATTTACGTATGGAAGTAATTGAATTTATTTAAATTTTTAAGGGTATTATTGTCTTTCAAAGAATTGATATATTTTTGTAATTGTGAAATATAAATAAGGGCACAAGGTGAATACAAAAAAAAAAATAAAAAATGGTCAAACTGGAAAATTGGTTGTTTGACTAATCCAATTTAAAAAGTACCCCCTTTTCCCCTTTGCCCGTGAACGAGTTTCAAGCCGCGCCCATATTTCGCTATCGGGAGAGGTTGAACTTTCAAACGGCACTGCGAGAGTCCGAAAGCAAACAGAAATTGGGGGATTTTGCTAAAATATAGGTCGATTTCTTGGAAGATTTCTCTCTGCCACGATTTCTCTTTGCAGCGTATGGTTAGGTGTTCAAAAATTAGGTTCGTTGCTTGGCATTGCTTGAACTTTCCAACGGCGGGCTCATTTTGTAAGCAAACAAGAAGTCAAAATCTTGTTTGATTTGAAGAGATAACAGACGAAGGTATTCCCCTTCCTCATTTTTGTTTGATACTGGTGGGTGAAAAACATGAGCGTAAAAAAAAAAATCAGTTTTAATTTCTGATAATTTATACACAATGTCTTGCTCAAACGTTATATAGTTCTATGCTAATTTACTCTTTTTCTCAAATAATAGTACTAATAAGTACTGAGTGGGTTTTATAAATTAAAACATTTCCTTCATGGCTTTTAAACATATAATACACTACTTGAATACAAATATCGTGTAATGTTTCCAATTGGTTTTTTTCTTTCTTAAATCTTACACAAAATGCTTTCGTTTTGGATATCACAATTTCATCAAATCAATTATAAGTAGTCTTGTATTAAGAAAAAGAATTTATAGATAATCTTATCCCTTGGTGTTCTTTGCCATTTTGAACATTGAATGAAATATTGATAATGAATGTTTTGGAATAATAAAAACGAAATTTCGAACACCAAGGGATATTTTAGTTTCCTTAACTTAGATTTGAGATGAATTAGGAAGGGGGTTCATATATGTAGAAGGAAGAATTATATGCAGATAATTGTGTTCCTTATAATTATTTTGTTATGAAATTTTTATCGCAGCGAAAGGAATTTCGGAAGAGGTGGATGACGATATCTTGTTAGAATTAGATAACGACAAGATGTTGGAAAGTGTGAATTTAGTGGATGATGAAATTGGAGGAGAAGATGGTATGATTGTGCTCGAGGTTGGTATGAAGTTTAATGATGAGAAAGAAATGTTTGATTTTTACAAAAGATATGCGTACAATGTAGGCTTTCCGGTTAGGAAAAGAAATTCGCAAAAAGATGATGTTGGAATTGTGAGATATATTGTGTTTACATGTAGTCATGAAGGTCGAAGAAATAGTAACACAAGTAGTTCTATGAAGCCGCAAGCTACCATTCAGGCATGTTGTAAAGCTAGTCTAACTGCATCTGTAGATGCATGCGGAATATGGAGAATTAATACAGTCAATCTCATTCACAATCATAGAACTAGCATGTTGAAGTCCAGGTTGTATCGTTGCAATCGAGAATTGAGTGCCCATGTCAAACGACAGCTTGAAGTGAATGACATGACATGGATTCTATTGCACAAAATTTTCAACTCTGCAGTTATAGAAGCAGAGGGGTATGAGAATATGATTTGCATCGAAAAGGATTGTAAATCATGTTAAACAAGTGAGGCAGTTAAGACTTAGAGAATGGAAGTGTACAAGATCCGAAATGCTCGAACAAAAAAGGTGCACCAAAGAAACTCCGAAGAAAAAGCTACCTGGAATCGAATTCCAATAAAACACAAGTACTTTGCAATTTATTTTGTTTTGTAAGAAAGTGCATAGTAGCAATAATTTTTTTGTCTGTTAAGCAGTCCCGTCCAACTTCAGCCAGGTGGAGGAGACCTAAGGCAGGCCCAAGTAAACTGGCAGAAGTCGAATTTGTCTCATACTACATGTAGGCACCAGTCTCATATTCACAACTTCTGATGGTACGTCTCATTCGATTGTGTTTATCATGGAATACCTAAGGCAATTTTAGTTACATTATGATATGGTGTAGGGTGTTGGCGAAAGTCATACATTTACACAACAACAAACGTCTCCCAATTTCATCTCATTGCCTTGACAAATGATATGTTGTATGGTCTAGGTAATAATATGGCTGAACATCTGTAATTTATTTCAAGTCAAACTTCGTTCGCGTAATAACTTATTTTAGTTCACAGCTGGAAATACAATGCCTAATTACTATCGAAATGTACCTCACCAACATGGCACGGACTTCTGATGTTGGATAAAGAGAATTGATGGACAAATATTCGCAAGCTAATTACGAGTTGGAGATAGGTTGGTCATGTAAATAATGTAGATTACATTCCTTTGGCTAAAATATGTGGGAATTGACTTCATTTTAGGCATTCATCTATTTTTTTCCTACCACTGCAATAGCATATCTATTTCACACACAAGAAATGATATGTAGGCATTCATCTATTTTTTTTCCTAGTACTGCAATAGCATATCTATTTTTCCTAGTAATTCTAGTGTTTTTTGACTTTAGTGTTAATTGGTGTTTTGCGGTTGTGGGTGCCTTGTGTTTTGTCGTGAAAGTCATAACCTTTATTTAATATCCATTTGCCGGATTATAGAAGACCAAGTTGCAATGCTCAGAAGTCTAGTTGAAACATTTGTCAATTGCATTTCAAGAAGTCCAGTTGCAACATTTGAATCTCATTTCCCATCAGTCCAATTGCATTTGTCGCCAGAATGCAATTATATAAATGCCTTTTGTACTTGATATCATGTGAAATATTTAGATTATGGTAGTGTTTAACCAATGGTATGTTGACCCAGGTATACTATGTTAAAATTAGAATTACAATGATGTTGAAATTTATGTTATTCTATGTTAATTAATACAACAGTTGGCGAATGATAATGTTGTATGTGGTTTTCATATCTAAGTTCTACACGTGTTTTTATACAAATTGACAATTAATATTTATATGGATATGTTAATTAGGAGGGATAGTATTATTATGGAATGTGATATGGAGATCAAACAATAATGAAATTTAATTTTGGTTGGCTGATACTCTTTGGTCACAGGCACTTTCTGATAAGCTTTCAGCATTCTCAAGGCCACTTATTATTCAAATCCAAAAAACATTGTTCAAATCCATGGTTATGGCACATAATTAAGAACACAAATAACATAATGACGAACACAGATTGTAGTCCATTACCATTAACACCAGCATCGTTATCATAGAGATTCTAGCATCAAAAGAGACTATATTACAATGACTTCTTCAATTCACCAACAGCTACACCTGAACTACACATAACACAACACATATTGCACATCAAATATGATAGCAATGCTTACTAGGAAAATATAATAACTAATCATGCTGGCCTCTTCCCTTTCTTATCCACTCCTGCACTTTCGTTGGCCTTCCTTATTGTCACGTTCAAAGAAATCTCAATGTTTCATTCTTCGGTTATCCGACAAAGAGACTGGAACATGCGAGAGCTGCTGAACTTCTTCGAGTGCTGCATGATTATTCGAGTTAACGGTAACATTACTCGATCCACAGCTTGATTCTCCCTCGTCGACCCATTCCCAATATTTACAGTTAGCACTACAGCAGTTGAACAATTTTCCCTTGTTCTTCGTTTACCTTTCGACCTCAAAACACTTCAAAAATTCACTTTTACACCAGGGGGCATCGCCTTTTTTCTGGCAATCCGTAAAGAAGTGTCCCTTCTTTCTATAGCTATGATAAAGTCCAAAGTTCTTTCCTGACATACTATATACAAATGACAGACAAATTACACTACATTAGACAACCATCACATAACACTGTAAAATCAACAAATTTGCAAACCTCATATTCCATCCATTTTTTTCTTCCAACAGTTTTCAACAAACTGTTCTACTAATTCAACAGTTTTTCTTCCAAAAATTTTAAACAATCTTGGATAGATTCCTATTATCAGATTCTGTAAACAAGTTGGAATGAGGGTGAAATTTTTCCTATGAAGTAAGTCGGGTTCTGCAAAGAAGTAAGGATGAGGGTGAGGTTTTTCCTACGAATTAAGTAGGGTTCTGCAAAGAAGTAGGGGTGAGGGTTAGATTTTTCCAAAACTGAAATTACTTGATCACAGTAAAAAGCAAAGACCAAATATCATACCATAATAAAAAGCGAGGAGGAAAATATCGTACTTACATAATATTTGCTCAAAATTCCACCAGAGGCGAAGGCATCGACAACGGAGGATTTGTTAAATTAAAGTCATCTTTCTTTATATTAAACTTCTAACAAATCTATAATATATATATATTTTTTTGGCATATCTTTCATGATAAGATTGGACTTGGGATATATTTTGGCATATCTTTAAAATTGGACTTCCACAAATCTAGGATATCTTTTATGATAACTGCACGTATTTTATTATAAGTCTACCTTGTCATTGTAGATAATCAAGATAATATTTTATTAATATCTTTGATAATTAATTTACCTATAAGTAAAGTATTTCATCAAGAGAAGAATTAAGCTTTAAAAACACAACCCCGTCCAATGACCTAGTGCAAGCAATTCTGCCATTTTCAAAGAAGTTCATACGGATTTATGTTTCATTGACAACATTTCAAGACAACCGTTCTCTTCAACGTATTCGGAGAAAAACAAAGTAATGTGCATCGATGTACAATCCTATAGCTGCTCTACGTGATATAAGAATAGTGATTCTTAATCCAAGTTGTGAATGAGACCAAGTAAAATAGGGAGGTGACGATAAAGTCAAGATCGGAGGGTTTAATTTCGCTTCAACAATAAGTCAAAAAGAAAAAAGATACAAGAGAGTTGTTCTCATATTTCTTTTGATTGTTTTTTTTTTTTTTGTTAATTTTGAGAAATTACAAAATTGAATACTATTGTATTTTTGATCAATTAAATTAGTGGATTGTTTGACCTGTGGCTGGGGCCTGTGGATGTTCCCCTTCATAGTTTACCATGTTACATCGAGTCGAGCAATTATTGATCTTTGTCACATGAATTTTGACAATGATTCTTCAATATCTTCCTTGATTATTGTGGATTTCCCAACAAATGTATGGTATTTTGCCTTAAAATACCAAATTCTAGCTACAAATCTTGATAATCTAATGATGAAACTATTATTTTTGCCTCAAGAATCCGTCTCTACTTAAAAAGAATGGAATAAAACTATCTATAACGCTCTACAGACATCCCCTAAAATGTCAAAAATCAGAATTTGAACCGAATTAGAAAAAAAAAATTGTGTCCCTCATTGGGCATATGTAATCGGACAGGAGAAGGTTGCATAGGCATCCCTATGTGCTCGTTTGGTTTGCAATTTCACTTCGTATGATCGCTTCATTTAGGTCAATTTCCGATCCTTTGCAATTTAGTAATTGATTTCATTTTCTTGTTCAATCCAAGTCCTCCAATATTGCATTTGAGGCCATTCAAATTCCAAACATTATTCATCCAACTTCAATACTAATTAATTAAGGATTATGCTATTTGTTTAGAAAATGAAATTTAGAAAAGTGTGCCAGAAAATGATGTGTAGTGAATGATTGGATAAAAAAGTTGACTGTATTTTAAATTGTTCAATGATAAAGTATCATGTGATATTATATAATCTATTATTCAAGATTTGATGTATATGTAACAAACTACGTTAATTAATCATTGTTCATTATTGTGAGAGGTAATCCTCTTCTCCTTCGTTCATGATTCATTTTGCTTGTTTCACTCTATTTTTTATTTCAAACTATTTTTATTTGGATATATGTGAGAATACTCAAATTCAAATATCTTCTTATCAATAATTCTTCTCCTACCAACGTGGCCCTGTTTGTGTAGCAAAACTCTCTTCTTACTGTACAATAAAGCTTTACCTACAGCAATTGTGCACATCAATTTTGATAGCATTTTAAAATTGCTGAGGTGGTCGCTTGATTTCTTTAACTGGGAATAAAGATTCTCATAAAGAAAAGGCTGAATATGTACTGTCAATTAAGTATTTTTTTATTTCACTAACCCGGCCCATTTTCGGTTCAACCCATGTACTGACCTATTTCCTTTTTCCTTTCATTTATCCCAAAATCAGCCTCGCCATAAGCGAACCGGGAGGAAATGTTTCTTCAATTTTGGCGGCACTGACGTTGAGATTATTTTTGACCCTCTTTGCCCTCGTCCCCCGACCATAGTTCCACCTCCACAATGCAGTACCGAGCCTAAAAATACACGAAGTGGGGTGTCATAGTGGACAATTTCTGGTGTTTTCTTCAATCTGTGTGCCGACGACTTGCAGTCTCGTAGTGGGTTAATTGATGAAGGTAAAATACTTTTCATATATGAATAACAGTCTTGCTGCGTTCGCGAATTATTTGGATTCCATTAGCATTTCATTCCAATAAAAAATAGCCAACCAATGTGCCATCATATTTACTGTAGAAGCATGCTCGTCTGTATATTATTCCTGTATAGTCAATCTAAAATGCTTTTGACCATACATTGGAGGAATAAATAAAACTACTATTTTTATTTGAGCATCAAATCCCTTTAGACATACGATTCAGAAAAGTAATTTGATCTTCTTCACCACCCAAAGATTTGTACCCCGATTACAAAGCGTCTGCGGTGTGATGGAGGTGGAAGAAATTACTGAGAAAGGTAAAATCCAAACTTTGCTGAAGTTGTAGTTTGAATATGTACAATTCCTTGTGTACGAATTCGATATTCTCTATTGGGTAATGTGTTATTTCAATTCTTGTATATTGAAATCATATAATTATGAACATTGTTATGGTACTTGTTTTCTTATTTTGTTATAACACTAATCTATTCCCACTCATTTTGCCATAGGGAAAGAAATAGTGAATGTGGTAGATGACGAAGTATTGGTAGAATCCAATAATCAGAATTCATTGGACAATGTAATCATGTTGGGAGGTGACAATTTAGGAGGAGATGTTGCGAACGTTCCTAAGGTTAGTATGAAGTTCAACAATGAGAATGAGCTGTATGAATTCTACAAGAAATATGCGTATGACGTTGGTTTTTCGGTGAGGGGAAGGAATTCTAGGAAGTGTGAGGATGGAATAGTAAGATATGTTACGTTGACTTGTAATCGTGAGAGACGACGAAGCTATAAGACAAGCGCTTATTTAAGGCCACAACCAACAATTCAGACGGGCTGCAAAGTAAGGCTAACTGCTTCCGCAGATATTCTTGGAGTGTGGAAAATTTGCATGATCGAACTCGAGAACAATCATAAAACAAGTCCGTCGAAATCTAGGTTGTATCGATGCAATCGATAATTGACTACACATGTGAAAACGAAAGCTAGAGGTGAATGACACGGTCGAAATTCCTTTGCATAAGAGTTACAACTCTACAGTTGTTGAAGCCGGCGGCTATGAAAGTATGATGTTCATAGAAAAAGATTGTAGAAATTACGTTGAACAAGTGAGACGATTAAAACTAGGTGAAGGAGATGTCGCGGCAATACAATCCTACTTTTCTTGAATTCAAGCATCTTGTTTTAGGTTTTACTTTTCTATGGATTTAGAGGACGAGTCATGACTTAAGAATCTTTTTTGGGCGGACAAAAGGTGTAGGCAAGTGTATAAGGAGCTCGGGGACGTAGTGTTGTTTGACATCACTTACCTCACTAATAAATATGACATGCCCTTTGCCCCATTTGTTGGAGTAAATCATCACAGACAATCAACGCTGCTTGGGTATAGGTTGCTATCTATTGAGGATACAAATACCTTCGTGTGGTTGTTCTGGACATGGATGCAGTGCATGCACGGTCAATCTCCTAACGAAATTATTACCGATCAAGACAGGGCAATGCAATTCAGATAGTTTTTCCGAACACGAGACATAGATGGTGTTTATGGCATATATTGAAGAAGTTCCTAAAAAAATTTGGATATCACAAGGATAAGAAACAAATATTTTCTTGCATACATGGCTTAGTTTATGACTCATAGTTTGCTGGAGAATTTGAGGAATGTTGGAGATTGATGGTTGACACATATAACTTATATGATAATGAGTGGTTGTCAAGGTTGTATAAGAATAGGGGTCGATGGGTTCCGTGTTATTTGAAAACAACCTTCTGGACAGGGATGTCAACTACTCAATGTAGTGAGAGTATGAATGTGTTCTTTGTGGATATGTTCATTCCAAGACATCGTTGAAGCAATTCGTAGAACAATATGAACGAGCATTACGAAATAAAGTTGAAAAAGCGTTTCAAGCAGATTTTAAGTCTTCCTCGGAGATGGTATCGTGTGCAATCAAATATGAAATGGAAAAGCAATTTCAGACAGCTTATATGATATCTAAGTTTCGAGAATTTCAAGATGACATAACTGGAAAGATGTACTGCGACATCATATCTACATCAAATTGATGTTCGGGAAAGATATACGAGGTCGAGAAAGATGTAATTTATGAAGAAAAGGCGAGCAAGAAATTTTTTTTGGTGTTGTTTCATGAAGAGGAGGTCGATATTATTTGTAGTTGTCATCTTTTCGAGTTTCAGGGAATTCTATGTAGACATGCCATATCAGTTTTGATGCGTAATGGCGTCACATTGGTGCCGAAAAGGTACATATTGAGGAGATGGAGGAGAGATATTTGTAGAGCCAACATGAGGGTTGCAATGAACTATAATGGTTTAGTTATATTCTTGTCATCTATGTATCGAGACGAACATAACATTTGAAATATTGTAATTTTCCATGTCATGTAGGCAACGTCGCCTTCAACCAAAGGGCAGAGACCGAGATCGATAAAGAGCAATCTCCAATATGATACTATACTGAATGCAAAACATTCCATATTAACACCACTTTCATGTTCACAAGTTATATTGGTAAGTAAATATTTATGTTTTTTGACATTCTGTGGCACTAATTTGTAATTTACATTTTGATTTCATATATGACAGGGAAATTAATGCAGTTGCACAACCCTTCACACCTTCAAATTTCATTGCTCCGTCAACATTAAATGTTGTTCTCAAT